TTGCGGGTGCAACATTAATGAAAACCTAAGCCTAAGTTTAGGGTTTTTTTAGTTTAGGGTTAAGGGTTAAGGGTTTAGGGTTTAGGGCTAAGCCCCAGAGTAACCAAGGAATGGGAAACCCCGTTTCTTTTGCCGAATGAGCTTTTGGTAACGCCTAAGCCCTAAGCCTTCTTCTTTTTGTGACTTTAGGCGGCTCCGGCCTAAGCCCTAGGAATCCGCCGAGGGTTTGAGAAGCTCTCTTTTGCTTGGAATGGCCCTGAGAGCCCAACACCCCTTAAATAAGGAATATACCTTAAACCAAATTAAAGAATTCTAAATGATGTAAGGTATATTCCTTATTTCAGAGGTCTTGGGCTCTTTGGGGGGTACCCCGCTACCATCTGGCGCTCCCCACCCTGCAGCTCCACCCCCCCGCCATGCCCCGCCCCCAAATCGCCATCTTTTCACCCTCTTCGTGTCCTGATACGCTTTCATTTTTGTGCCGCGTCTTCGTGTCCGTAGCATGTGCCTACAAGTAATTCCCATGGTTTGGGGTTACCTCGCCGCTGGGCAGGCCGCCACCCCAAGGCGGGGGCCACGCAGCGTTCAAAACTAAGGGTCTTCACAGGATTTTCCGGGTGCCCGCACCTGGCCCTGCCAGGGCCGCCATGAGCCTGAGTGGGTCGAATTCGGGTTTCAGGGCTCGGGGTTACGGAAAGAAGGCCCGTTCTCCACCCCAGAGTGGCCTAGGGCCTGAGGTCTAGCCTTTGGGGTCAAGGGCTTTTGCCTAGCAGCAATTGGTCAGTTATCCAAATTGATGTTCCTTTTTGAGAGGACGCGTGGGGTCTGTGAGACCTTGATGGGGCCCTAAGCACCCGAAGCAATTTTGCTAGGAAGTCGACTGTATCAGAAGACCGTGAAACCTTAAACGCTTATAAACCCTGCAAGCCATACATCATATAACCTTATTATAAGCCCTACGAACCCTCTAAGCCCTATGAACCCTATACGCCCTAGACCCAAAATAAACCGTAGCCCTAAATCCTAAACCCTAAACCCTCCTACAGAAGCCCCCTAAACCCCACAATTGTCCAAACATGTCCAAACACTTTCCAACCCTGTAAGCCCTACAAACCCTAAGAGTGTAAACCCTAAACCTTACATCCCACCTACAAAAGCCCCCGTTAAATCCCCACAAGTTTCCAAACCCTGTTAAACCCCATAAACCCCGTAAACCCCATAAACCCTATAAACCCTAAAACCCTGAATCCCAACCCCCCGCCACTGTCCAAAAGCCCCCCCTAAAGCCCCACAAGTTTCCAAACCCTTTCAAACCCTCTAAACCCTACAAACGCTATAAATCCTAGAAACCCTAAACCCGAATTCTAAACCCGAAACCCAACCCTAAACCCCCATGTCCAAAAGCCCGGCTAGATCCCTAAACCCTAAACCCTAAACCCTGAACCCTAAACCCTAAACCCTAAAATCACGGTCGGAGTTCCGCAAGTCGCCCAGCGCGGGCACCGTCAGCTCCATCTCCCGGGCCTGGGTCTTGTCAGGATCTTTTGGGTTTAGGGTTTAGGGTTTGGGGTTTAGGGTTTACCTGTCAATCCCCCGTTCCATAAAAAACTGTCCTATTGAAGAGGCCGGAAAAATCCAGCCGCGCAAAAAATCCGTCCGCTTTAATGATGGTCAGAAACCTATTTCCTGGTTGAAACCAGACACCTACACAATTCTGCAGAAAAAGTGGCCTTTTCAGAAAAAGTGTCCTCTTGTTGGGTTTGCGTTGGTACGCTTTTTCCCCAACATTTTCCCAACATTTTTCTAACAAAGTATGGATTCGGTACGGTTTACGGTTTTTTTGGGCTACCCCCCCCCCCCCCCAAAACCCAACAAAACCCAACATTATGTTGGAAAAACGTTGGGTTCAGAGTACGCTTTTTTGTGTTCTGCTCAGGTCACCTATTCTTTGGTGCACAAGACTCTGCACAGGGCTCGGGAAGGTTCCCCTGAACTCCGAAAATCCAGCCGCTTTGATCGTATTCCCCGATCCCAATAGAACACCAACACCTCGCTTTTGCACGCAAAAAACCAGAAAAAAACTATAAGGACAGAAATTTCTGTCCGCCAGGATTAACAGGTAGGGTTTAGGGTTTAGGGTTTAGGGCTTAGGGTTTAGGGTTTAGGGTCACACAGACACACAGAGACACACAGAGACACACAGAGACACACAGAGACACACACACAGAGACACACAGAGACACACAGAGACACACAGAGACACACAGAGACACCAGACACACAGAGACACACAGAGACCACAGACACACAGAGACACACAGAGACACACAGACACACAGAGACACAGAGACACACAGAGACAACACACACAGAGACACACAGAGACACACAGAGACACACAGAGACACACAGAGAGACACACAGAGACACACAGACACACACACACACACACACACACACACACACACACACACACACACACACACACACACACACACACACACACACACACACACACACCTGAGAGTGGTAATCGTACATTCTGCGGTGCCATCTGAGGTCAGAAGGGATCCCTGGATATGCGAGGTACGTTGGTGGCAGCGTGAGTGTAGAGAGCACGGCACACAGTCAGTGCCCTAAACCTTAAACCCTAAACCCCAAACCCAAAACTCCAAGAACTCCAAAACCACCGGTCGCCAGAAGCACCAGCTGAGTGCTGCGCAGCGCATCGTTTGACTAGCGCCTGGCACTAATATAGGGGCCTTCATATTTGGAAGAAGGTGTTGGGGGGTTGTTATAGTATAATTAAAAGGGACCATAATGTTAGAGTCCCTTTAGTAAACCCCCCCCCCAATCTTGTTTTGGTCCCCGGGGTTTGGAGGGGTGGAAAAAAATGCGGGGTGTCAAATATGAGGATTCTGGGGGTCTGGGGTCTGGGGGTCGGTGCTTTCTCTGAAGAAATAGCCCTGAAACAGCAGTTTCTCGCAGCTCTGGAGCTGCAGCAATCTCAGAAGACAAGCAATCTCAAACGAGATCTGCTTCTCTAAAGACTGAGCCTTGGAGCTCTTTCAAGCCAGCTCAGCTGAAAAGTCTTCTCTGCAATGGAACTCTTAAGCCATTTTCAGTAAAATTTTCAATTCCTGGCCGGAAAAGTCTTACAAATACCACCCCATTATTATTATCACCGGACCCCCCTATATAGACTTGTTTACATACATCGGCCCGAAAACCTCCCGTAATGGAAAGTAGTCTTCGGCTGGGGCTCTCTGGCCCGGCGAATATTACTATTACCACCCCAATTTAAAAAGCGACTCTCACATTAAGGAATATCAAGTATTCTTCTGGCCCCTATACTACCCTCCAAGCCCTTCATCCACGCGTCAAGCCTACCACTCTCACACAGTAGCGCAGACTGGTGAGGGGGTGTTTGGTTTCAAGTGAGAAGAAGAGGACTCGGTGGCTGAATACGCTGAATAGTCGAATATTACATACATAAAAATGTACAACTATCACAGAAAAAAAAAGAGTACTTTTAAGCGTCCGAAGATGATTACGGTTCCGTCGCGTCAGATTCAGCAGCCTTTAATTGCCTCCGACCTGCCTATATATATATATATATTGAATACCGAAAACATGCGAAACACAAAACATCAGCCCCCTAAACCCTAGTGAGGATCGCGCCCCTGCTGACCCTAAACCCTAATTCTTTTTTGCCAGAGGACCCTCTTACGCGCCTCAAGCTGCCTTGCCCTCAACCCTAAACCCTCAACTCGTCGTTTTTGTCTCCTCCCGAAAGCCCCACAGCCCCAAATTAAGAAAGACCCAATAAGGTACCCCTAATTGCCCTAAACCCTAAACCCTAAACCCAAAACCCTAAACCCAAAACCCTAATACCCTAAACCCTAAACCCTAAACCCCAAACCCCAAATGAAGCCCGCCTCGACCAGAGGTGCCTTCGCCCGGCCGACGGCCGCCGCCGCCAGGGCCAAAGCCGAGGCAGCGGCGCCCCCGAGCCTGGGACCCCCCGAAAAAAGCGCAGATCTGTAGGGTTTAGGTTTAGGGTTTAGGGTTTAGGGTTTAGGGTTTAGGGTTTAGGGTTTAGGGTTTAGGGTTTGAGGTTTGAGGTTTGAGGTTTAGGGTTTAGGGTTTCGGGTTTCAGATGTGTGGTTTTGGCACCTGCAGTAGCTGGACGAGCCACAGGGTCTAGGGTTCAGGGTTTCTCAGAAGGATTCAAAACGAGTGCAGGGAATGAGGAGGGTTAGACGTCTTATACATGTGTGCCTTGAGTTTGTGGATTTGAAGGAGCGGGAAACTGTAGGCTTATATGGTACAGGGTTGAGGGAAACTTTAGGATTGTTGAGTGCTCTCGAGGCGTTACCAAAAGCCTCAAAGAACTAACGCCAAGGATCAGGGTCTAGACCGTTTATAAGGTTGAGGGTTTAGAGGTAGAGGGCTAGGATTGATAGGTTTGTCGGGTATATAGGGTTTAGGGTTTACAGGTTTACAGCGTTTAGGGTTTATAGGGTTAATTAGGGTTTATAGGGCTAGCATTAACAGAGTTTAGGTTTTAGGGTGAGGGTTTTAAGGCAATTTTAAGGGTTCCGGGTTAGAGTTTGGTTTTGTTGCTTCCAGTTTAGGGTTTGATTCTCAATGCGTCTCTGCTTCCTCATTTAGCTCCTTGTGATCTCATATTCAGCCCCGAGCACGTCCTGGGCCCGGCACGCATCGGGGCCGTGCGTCACGCCTCGCCCACTGGCGCACAGCATCTGCCGCAGGGGATGATGGGTGCAAGGCGAGCTTTTCGGGTTTAGGGTTTAGGGATTTGGGTTTGGGCTTTTTGCTGTAGGCAGACACTGTGTCCGACTGCAGGGCAGCCGGTGACGACGACCACGCCGCTCTCAGCTGAGGTTTCAGCAGCACTCTCACGTAACTCCCTCAGCAGCACGTTTAGGGCCAAGGAATATTTTGGCTGCCTAGCTGGGCGACACCACGGTTTAGGGGAAAACCGAGGCAGGCATGAGGTTGAAAGGCATCCAGAACATGGACCGCACCGGTGCCATGCTCAACTGGCCCTCATTTCACCGTACTGACTTGCACAATGGGGCTCAGAGAAATGTGTGTCACACCCCATGTCAACGATGCCGAGTCGTTACTGCGCCAAGCCCCAAAAACAACTTGCCGGCCCCTTTAAACTCGCACACAATCCACCGCTACGATGCCCCGTTCCCTCTGGCACCTCGACGATGGCTTCACCGACTTCCTCGCGGCCCTGGCCAGCCTGTTGTGTCACTGGATCAGTGCAGTGCTTTGCGAGAATGGCGTCTGCGAGGGTGCCCCACTCTGGGGGGTTCAGGTTTTTTTTGTAGGAAGGGAATACTGAAGGATGTAGAAACCTGAAGAATGGGCTTGGAGTTTGGAGGGGATGCGAATTGCGAACAGGACATGTATATATAGATATGTGAATACATATCAAACTCAAAAACCCGCATGCCCGAAGCTCACGTCATCGCTTGACCAGCTCGCCACGTGCTATGGCCACCTAGTCACTAGTCTGGCATTTGCGGTGCAGGCATCTATACTCCCCGAAGAACGTCCATAAAAAAATGCGATCAATATTTCCTTGGGATTTAAAGAAAAATGAAATAGAAATAATTCTTAAGGGGGCTGTAGGCCCATAGGCACAGCAGACAAACTCGGGGCAGCTTCGGAGGTTTCCTTGCAAGGTTTCTGTGGGGCCGGCCTCACAGGCAGCCAGTGCAAAGTGTGCCGCTGCATCCGCGGAGTCGCCTGGAGAAGGGGAATTCGGAGTTCGGGGTTTCGGATTGTGGGGTGTTCGGGGAGTCTAGTATGGAAACGTGAATGCTGAAAGTGCCGATCGGATGATCGGATGTGGAAGAAGATGGAAGGCAGTATGATGGGTTAGTGCTACGATTGTTGTTCCAGAACATGGAACTTCTGTAATCCACATCCATCTCGTGTGCCAAGAGATCCAGATATACAGTAGCATAGCGTTCGGTCTGCGCGTCTGCAGGGTCCGCTCCCCAATACATACGCCAAGATGAGTGCAAGATGATCAAGCCCCTAATGCTAAAGTCCGGCAGTTGGGGGGCCCGAGACTTGGATGGTGGAAAGGCCCGGGAGAATGACAACTTTCGGGCACATGCGTGCTGGAAGACAAGCACGTGCAAAGACCCGGAACCTGCCCCCAAAACCCAAGCCCAAGCATCACCGACGCCTGACAGCGCCTGTGTCTGTAGCTTCTCTCCAGCAAGCTTAAAGACACCGGCCTGCCAAGCTTCCCAGAAAACCCGATACCCCGTCAAAGAGGATGTTTAAGGTCTCTCTCTCTCTCTCTCTCTCTCTCTCTCTATGCATATGTAAATGACATTAAATGCCCTGGGCTTCCCTTTTTTTGGTTCCATTCAAACTACGAAAGGCGCTAGGCACGAGGAGTGCATGTTTCGGAGGGTACAGTAGCTATAACTTGGGCGTTTTGTGCCCTACTTTCTTGCCACCCGTCTAGCCTAGGGTTCAGGGCTTGTGGAGTTTTGGGTTTAGGGTGTTTTGGGTTTAGGGTTTGGGGTTTAGGGTGAGTAGTAGAGTCGCTAATAAAGTGATATCCGGACATGGCCCAGTCCAAGCAGTCCCTCCAGAAACCGGAGAGATCTCAGGCCTCCGGTGGCATCAGGGAACCAGCAAGAACCTGGTTCGGGTTTAGGGTTTAGGGTTTCGGGTTTAGGGAAACAGGTTCGGCTATTTGAGGCTCCCTATCAAGATGCCGGTGGAATGGGCCTTCGGCCCGTGGCCTCTGCTAGCGTACGTATGATAAGGAATCTGGGACGATTCTCACACCAGGATGGGCTATTAGGCCTGACAATCCCCAGAATGAACCCTAGAAAGGGCCTTTTAAGGGATATATAGGGTATAAAAGCCCATCCTGGTATGTGGAGAAGGCAAATTTGAATGATTACACGGCGGCTCTGCTTGGCCCGCGGCGTGACACAGCCGGCAAAGATCTCGGAGCTCCAATCCTGCTAGACAGATACAAACGCAAGCAAAGGGGCTTTATGAGGAATGCCTCCCCTACATTCTCCCAGACACTCTTCCAAGATGTTTATCTAGAATCTTAGCAGCTCAGCAAAGTAGGCCATGGCAGGCCACGACTGCTTCCAATCTTTGAATCTTCGGTATCCGCAGAGTTGAGGCTTAAGGCCCGTAGGGTTTAGGGTTTAGGGTTTAGGCTTAGGGTTTAGGGTTTAGGGTTTAGGGTTTAGGGTTGCAACCCTGTCCGGGACTCAACGCAGCATCCGGAAGACGCATCGATTACATTGCCGCCTTGACAAGCAAGTGTGGAGGAAGCGGACCTTAACCTTGCACAACTAAGCCGAAGCCATAAGCCCTAAAGCCTACCCTCAGCAAGTTTCCCTGTGGTTAAGGGGATAGGGTCTAGGGTTTAGGGTTTAGGGTTTAGGGTTTAATTAGGGTGTTTAGGGTTTAGGGTTTAAGGATCAGCAAGGCGCGGGGGGCCTGCCACCAAAACGTCTGGCTTGATCTTGACCACCTGCACCCCAAGGGGGAAGGAAATTGGGCCCCAAGGCCTACATATTTTGCGAAGTGACCACGCTCGCCGCTCCCTAAACCCTAAACCCTAAACCCTGAACCCTAAACCTCTTCAAAACCTGAACCCAGAACCGCAGACCGCGATTCTCGGAAAGGGATCGAGGGGGAGGTACCTTGTGCATGTGGACTCCCTTGCAAATGACACATGCAAACTGGACCACATAAGGCGGATATCTGCCCTAAACCTTCAACTCCGCCACCGGCAAGCCCTTTGCGGAGAGGACATCAGGCTGCCCTGCGATCCTAAACCCTAAACCCTAAACCCTAAACCCTAAACGCGATCCTACGGTGCATTCTCACTTCGACGCATGGGCACATCGGGGCTCGTCTTTGAAGCCTTTCAGCTTGGGGGGAGGGTCAGGTTGGCCTAAACATTCTACCTGTGCAACCATGAAAAGCTACTTAAAGGTTCACGAGTAGTTAGTTGAAAGTAGTGTTACAAGTACCCTACAGAAGGATGTAACCAGTTATAGTCATGCAGTTCTAGTTACCCTACTTAACCCCCCCCCCCCCCCCCCCCCCCAGCAACCTCCAAGTAGAGCAGTAGCCCCCCACATTCATGCTCCTCTCGCGTGTGCTTCAAGTGCACATGCACATGGGCCCACCCCTGACTACAAGAGAAGCAACACCCTCCACAGTAAACTCCAGAAAGTTGGAACATTGTTTAAGGACGATTAGAGCTGGGATTCCCGTTCGTATCCCTTAAACCCTAAACCCTAAACCCTAAACCCTAAACCCTAAACCCTACTTGCCCCCGAAGCCGCTGTTCATCCTTCACGGCTCGGGCGCACAAAAAAAATCGTGGGAGCCTGGCCTCCTCGTGCAGCGCCTGCTGGGCAGGGGGGGGTTTAGGGTTTAGGGTTTAGGGTTTAGGGTTTAGGGTTTAGGGTTTAGGGTTTAGGGTTTAGGGTTTATTCATGCCTATCAAGGACTGTTAGCATAGGGGGGAAACATCCCAACTTGCCAACCTCTTCCCAAACAAAAAACCCTACACCCTACACCCTAAACCCTAAACCCTAAACCCTAAACCCTAAACCCTAAACCCTAAACCCTAAACCCAAACAAACTGTACAGTCAGAAACAAGCAGCCCCTTCCAGGCCTCGACCTCATCCCTTCGCTTCTGAAGCTCGGCCCTACCACCGGCCTCCGGGGCTTGCAGGGTTTAGGGTTTTTTGGCACCCGCAGGGTTTAGGGTTTAGGGTTTAGGGTTTGGGGTTTGGGGTTTAGGGTTTAGGGTTTAGGGTGTGGGGTTTAGGGTTTGGGGTTTAGGGCTTCGGGGATGAAACCCGGCAATCATCAACTGCAAAGCCGAGCAAGAACTTACCGAAAGAGTCGTCATCTCACATTGGGGTTCAGGAGTGTGGGGTTGGGAGTTTGCAGACCTGGGCGAACCCATCGCAAGGATGCATAGAACAAATCTTAAGTCGTGGGTTTAGAACCCGAAAACGCATCAGATGTCTCAACATGTATCAAGCCTGGGACAGTAAGGACGCCCTTTGCGCGATGCTCGCAAGGACGGCCTGCCGCTGAGTTTGCAGGAACAGCAGGCTAGAACGATAGCACGTCGACCAGCTACTACTTGCCCTGCTGTATCGGGATTTTGCTACTGGGTTTGAAGTCTGCTTAGCCAGTCCTCCCGACCCCTGGCCTACTATTTGCCTAAGCACCGACCAAAAAACTAGTAAAAAAAAGACCTTACAAGGGTAATATGGGGATTACTACCTCTTTTTGGGGGCGGGCTTCTTGAGCAAATAGTGTGGCTGTAGCACCCCCGGGACGGACACATAAAGAGTCGCACACGCGTGACAGCGAAGACCCCTGTAGGAAGCCCGCCCAAAAAACACGGACACAGATATAATGGGATACCCAAAAGCCTGTTTGCACAAGAACCTCCTTCCCCCCCCCAAAAAAAAAACAAAAGAAAAGATCTTCCTTCTACATAAGGGCAATACAGGGACTGTTCTGTTTATATCTTTGGGGCTTCTTGGGGGCAAATAGTAGAAACCCTACCCGACTTGGCCTTTGAGGCGAACTGCCGGCATGGCCAAGGTGAACCTTGTCGAGGATCAGGAGGGAGGGACTCCAAGGGCCGCGGGAACAAAGCTGTTCAGTCTGTAAGTTAGCAGCTACATCTCCTCCCAACCTCGCCCAAGCTAGCGCACATGCCTTGCGCGACTCAGCATGTCGGACAGACAGGGCGCAGGAGTTTAGGGAGGTTGGATTAGGGTTTAGGGTTTAGGGTTTCGGGTTTCGGGTTTAGGGTTCAAGGTGCCCTGGTTCAGAGTGTGAGATCGCAGAGTTCCACCTAGGACATCAGGTGAAGGAAGCCTGGAATCATCAACCCTGGCCCTGATCCCCCACACCAAAAACAACTCCCACAACCTCGACCCGGTTTAGGGTTTAGGGTTTAGGGTTTAGGGTTTAGGGTTTAGGGTTAGGGTTAGGGTTTAGGGCAATGTCAAGATCGATGTCTGGAGGGCCCCCGCGGCCACAAACAGTCCAGCGCGGCGCGCGGCATCTTAAGCGCTGCATGCTGTGGAGTGCTTGGACGGGCTTCGGGCGTCACATCATCCATGCACGCATGTGGGTATGTGTGTATGCATGTACGTACAGCACGCATGTGTGCATGTGTGCAAGTGTATTTGTTGTCAAAACATGCCTAATTCCATCTTACGTGCGTGTGGGTGTGTGTGTGTGTGTGCGCATTTGCTCATGGTGAGCTGACTTCTGCGATGCACTCGCATTGGAGGCCATTCCATGGATCTCTTCTAACCAGGAAGCTGCTCTGGGCTTGGCGTCCTAAGCGCTGTCCAAGACATTGGCTCATGAAGCACATGACGCCGCCGTTCAACCCCAAACCCTAAACACCCTGAACCTTTTTCAGGGCTCAGCTTGGTGAGTTCGGCACTTCCCAAATCATCTACTGCTTCCAAGCACTGGGGCATCCCACGAAAGTTCCTGGAGCCTGCTTCCAGAGCGGCAACTGCGAAGTGATAAGCCAGCACATTTGCCATTGCGCTCTGTTGGAGCTCCTGTACCAAACCTAGGCTGTCCCTTTAAAAAAGATTCTAGTAAAGAAAACATGAAAACCCTAAACACTAAACCCTAAACCCTAAATAAAGCCTAAACAAACCCTAAACCCCGAACCCTAAACCGTAAACCCTAAGCTGTAGAATTAGGCCCACCTAGGGACTGTAGGCCTGGCTTGCCGCGGTGGCTTTGGCACAGGCGCTGAGGGCGGAGGTCGACGCGATAGTATTGGCTTCCACTCGCCTGCCCTGCGCTTCCTGGAGCAAGTGCTGTGCTTTCTGCCACACTCCTCTTCCTAGGTTCTGCAAGCAAGAAAAGGGAACACAATCTGATGTCATGGGTGTTAAAACAGGAACCAAACCCTCAAAACTAACCAAAGTACCACTCAAGGTCCTAGTCTCTTTCACAAGCACTGATTGAGGAGCTGTAGCTAATCAGGTTTGGCTTGATGTCCTTCTGGCCCAGTTCACGCAGCAAAGATTGTGCATGCTGCCACGCCCCTTGCCTCTCACAAGCGCCAATGGCTGCATTGTATGATATCACGTCTGGCTGTACCTCACTACACAGTTCCAGCAGAAGCTGGTGCGCCTGCTGCCACTTACCACCCTTCTCGCATGCACTGATTGCTGAGTTGTAGGCAACCAAGCTGCGCTCGACCCGACGACCATGGAGCTCCCGGAGTAGCCACTTGGCTTTCTGCCACTGACGACTTTTCTCGAGGATGCTCAGGAGGATGTTGTATGTTACAGCATCAGCCTGCATGGACCTTGCCTCGAGCTCCTCAAGAAGCACCAGCGCCATCTGCCAGCGGCCTCCCCGCTCGTAAGCGCGGAGTGCCGAGTTGTAGGAGATCACCTGAGATGACGAACCCAGTCCTACAAGCACCCTTGCGCCCTACAAGCGTCAGAAAGTAAAGTGCGATTACTGTAGCTTCACGTCGCACTTCGATGCTGCGACTGTAGTGTATATGTGTAAACGAAGTACAGTCGGTGACAAGACGAACCACTGGCATTCACTTACCCCTCGCCGCTGACGTGCCATCACGTCAGGCACGAGCCCAGCACACTTTGGGCACTGCTACTCCAATACCACCTTGTCACCGCAAGTCTAGCAGCAGCATGCATCCGTCAGCATGCAGAGAGCCACCAGATGATCCACAACATCCGGCAGTTTAAAACAAACCTAAAAGCATGACAAAACACTTGGCTGAATTGAACGAACCACGTTTGCTCGCACAGCCTTCTGCTGCATCTCTTGAAGCAGTCGCTCCCCCCGCAAGGACTGACCTGCGCGTTGACAAGCACTGATCGCGGCATTGTAGGCAAACACATTGGCTTCCAAGTGCTCCTGTGTGAAGCAGGGAGGGAACCACCCTTTAAATACTCTTGGCAGACTGGCATTCAAGTAACAGCATCACGGCTTCGTGCCGCAAAGTGGATACCGCAACTGCGACCTCTGCATGACGAGCTCAATAATCGCCTACTGTTTCCATGCATCCACGTGAACAAATTCATGGCCTTAAACCCTCTGACCACTGCTCAAACATGTGTTCTTAATTCTTAAGCCCGCCTCGTTCAGGTGCATGAAGAGTTCAAGAGCCCTCTGCCACACCCCAGCCCGGTCGCAGGCGCTGATGGCCGCGACCATGGTGAAGACGTCAGGATGAAGTTCTCGCGCAAGCACCTGCAGGGTATAAAGGTATGCAAGACATGCGCCGAATCTATGGAAAAGCGCCTTAAGGCTTATGAATCAGAAACAAGATCAACAGCCAGCAAATCGTAAGGCGATGTCGCCAAGGGGCTTCGCGCAGGAAGCCCAAAGCCTTTTGCCACTCTCCGTCCCATGCACATGCGCTGATGGCCGTGTTGTAGGAAACGATGTTTGCTTGCAGCTTTTGTGCATCCAAGTCCTGGAGAAGGCACTGAGCCCGAGCCCAGCCGCCAGCGACTTCGTAGGCACAAAGGATGGCATTTGCTGTGATGATGTTCGCTTGGATCAACAACGCGGGAAGCTCTACGAGCAGCTGCTCCGCCCGCTGCCACTCTCGGGCGGATGACAGGACGCTGATCACGGCATTGAATGTGATGACGTCTGGCAGCACTTGCCGGCTGGGGAGAGTCTGCAGAACAAGCAAAGCTTGTTGCCAATTTGCAACATGCTCGCATGTACAGATGGCGGCATTGAACAAGATGACAGAAGCTTGCACATCCACATCTTGTAAGTCGTCCAACAGGCTCCACGCGAGTTGCCACTTTCCCTCACCCTTGCAAGCGCTGATCACAGAGGTGTAAGTGACTGCAGATGCCTGAACTTGGCACACTTCCATCTGGTGCAGCAGGCACACGGCAACTTGCCAATAGCCTCCGCTCTCGGCTGTGCTGATGACCGCATTGTACGTGATATGGTTTGCTTGGATGACCAACTCACGCATGTCGCAAAGTAAAGACAAGGCCAACTCCCAGTTTCCGCTTGCTTTATGCGCGCTGATAGCTGAGCTGTAGGTTATCACGTTTGGTTGCAAGTCTCTCGAGTCACAGTCCTCAAGCAACCATTGAGCACGTTGCCAGTCACCGGCAAGTGAGCAAGATGTGATTGCCGAGTTGTACGCGATCTCGTTCGCGTGAATAAGCCTCGCGCCCAGATCCTCCAGCAGTTGCAATGACCACCGCCATTCGGTGCCCTGGACACAAGCATGGATGGCAGCGCTGTAGGTTATGATGTTGGCCTGTTGCTGTTGCGCATTCTCGTGCAGCAATAGAAGTGCCTTCCTCCAGTGCATGCTTTTACCACACTGGCTGATCGATGCTGTGAGCAGCTTTGCATCCATCCCGAAACCACGTCCAGGAGAAAGTCGGCAGGTGGAGAGCTGTTGGCCATGCCCTTCAGCAAGGCGCTGAGCTGATAAGAAGAAGCCCAGCAGGCTCTCCATGACATTCCTGCTTCCACCGCGAAAAGGCACCTAGCTAGTGCTTCTGCGAGCTGCACGAATTATGTACATGGCACCTCGATGGATGAGCCAAGTGGAAGCAACGCCCTGTTTTTACATCGTTTTGAAGATGTGCCCTCAGCTGCTTCCCGATTGTGGTCTGCATAAGATATGGTGCAGTCTGGCTTTGGGATCTATGAAACGCACGTAAGGCCGTCACTTTGTGCACGGTGCGTTTGCAGGCTCAAATATTGGTACCTCGCATCTGGTCGCAAGAGCGACCAGTAAGAATCAGCTTTTGAATCTCGTGGGGGCGAGAAACCTATGGCCTTCGGGCAGCTAGTGATGAATGCCCTTGCCGCTGAGGCTGGGAACCCTAAACCCTGAACCCTGAACCCTAAACCCTGCTTCTGCTGCCAGCTTGAACTATGGGGGAGAGAGGAAGCACTGCTTCCCGTTAGACATTACTTGGAGGTTCCTGGGTAGTTATAAGTGCGGTTACAAGTAGGGTAACTATACTTAAAACCTTACATAGGGCACGTATAGGCATGTGTTTTAGAAGGGGGCTTATGTAAAAACTTAACATGAAAATAAACGACATACATTCTCAAAAAGAAACATGCTCATGTTGTCATGTTGTATTATCGTTCCGTTTTTACACGTGCCTCACGAGTCGGTATCTGAAGCCACCGTAGCAACTGCACAGTCGCTGGTGGAGTGAAACGACCTCATGTCAAACACAGCTATGTCACTGTGTCAACTCATTCAGGGATTTCGAAAATTTGTCCCAATTGACAATGATGGTGGTGAGGCCGCCGAAGAGCAAGGAAAGTGCAGCCAGAGCCCTTAACCCAGCCCAGGCCAAAGTGAGTTCTCTCCACTCGGTCCTGTGTGCTGTCAGGAATTCTGCATACTTCTGTGCGTCTCGGGAAAGAAACTCCTGCCACCGCTTTTCGTTCTCCAACTTGAAGTCATGGTACCGCTTTTCGTTCTCCTTTACGTTCTTTTCGTTCTCCTTTACGTTCTCCAGCTTGAAATCATGCCATTGAGCAAGCATTTCCTTGTGCCCAGCATGGATCTTCTCGATCTTCTTGTCAAGGTCATCGATCTTCTTTTCGATCTTCTGCGCACTGAGATGCCAAAATGCTTTCGATCCGCGTTGCCATGGGCGCTTCAGATGCAGCATATTCTTCAACATGGTTCTTATCTGCAAACAACTTGAATGACAAGACGGCAGTGGCATGAATCATCAACAAATGCACATCTTGTGCTCCAAGCAAATCTGCGAAGTGTATTCAACACACATGCATACACATGTAGCAAATTAGGCCCCTGCTTCCGTGTCTTGCTCAGGCTCAGAGGCTCAGACCCTCCCAAACGAACCCTGAACAGGCTGTCCCTGCACCTCGGCAAGGAAGACCCGGTAGCCCAGCACCAGGGAACCCTACTTATAACTATTCTTGAACCTCCAAGTAGCCCGAAACCCAAAACCCTAAACCCAAAACCCTATTGCCAAACCTCCTTGCGTTTTCCAGCCCTCTGCCTCAGGAACCTGAGACTCGAAAGATCTGGTTGCTGCGGACGCTTGAGCCGAGGTAAGGCTACATTTACCAGGATGGGCTATTATACCCTATAATCCCTTAAAAGGCCCTTTGCAGGGTTCATTATGAGGATGTTAAAGCCGAATAGCTCATCCTGTTAAGTAGTTCGTGACGATCCCCGTTGTTCACCTGAAACATGCCTTGCCGTCGTTGACATTCTCACAAAACGACAATAACAGTAGCAACAATAATAAAGATTCCTTCATAGAACTCCGGCCCATTATTCACCAGCCAGGTGTTTATGATGTCTGTAACGAGGGGAATGACATGCCACCGCATCTCTGCACAATTTTCCCACGTTTTGCAAAGCTGCCGGTAGTCTGCTTCAGCATCTGGGGGTTTACGATATTAGGGGGCACCTTTTTGGGGTGCTTCTTATAAAGGGATCCTACTATTCGGGGATCCATTTAACGGGTCCCCTATTCTTGTAAACTTCGATATAATATAGCGGTCGGAATAATTACCAACAGTATTCCCTTATGGTCCCTTTCGAAAGAATACGAGAGTAACCCCCAAAAACCTGTTGTCGTAAACCCTCATCTGCAAAGGAAGGTTGCTTGGACATAAGCGCTCAGGTGGAACCACTACGAGCACGGCAGCTCATGGCAACTCCGCGCAGTTCGCGCTCGGACACTTCAAAGAATTCTTCGGAGAGGTTCATGGCTAGTTAGAAGAACCCAAAACCTACCTTTTGTAGGTTCAGGGGCTTTATAATAATAACCTACAAACAAGTAGGTTTTGGGTTCTTAAGGTAGTGATGAGGAGGGTTAGGAGTACCCTAAGACAGGTTATATAAGTTCTCCAAACAGTGTGCCAACACTGGGGTTCTTGCGTCCAGAGCAACAGGGGATTAGATAGAGTTGCACGCGATATGCCTGCGAAACGCCAACGAAACGTGGGCGTTATTCCTCGAGCGGCAGTCGCCTAGAGGCGCCATGCACATCCACGTCGCGATCCTCGCAACCGCCGTCGGTTTTGGACGTCTGGGTCCGCGACATGCTGAACTGTCGTCGCTTTTGCCGTCGCCATCCTCGTGACTGTCGTGGCTTTTTGACGTCTCGGTTCCCGATGTTCGAAGCTGTCCTCGCGTCCTAAACCCTAAACCCTAAACCCTAAACCCTAAACCCGAAACCCTAAACCCTAAACCCTAAACCCTGGCTTTTGGTGTTTCTGGAGGACATCCGGAGCTCTGGTGGCTCGAAAGCCGACTTTTTTTGTAGTACAAAAAAACAATCATCCCATATTACCCTTATAAGGGTTAGGGTTTAGGGTTTAGGGTTTGGGGTTTGGGGTTTGGGGTTTGGGGTTCTTGAGCAATTGGTAGCAGTACCTCAGCCCTTTACAGGGAGAGCCCCGAGGCTTTTTTGTTGGGTCTTCGAGCAAAATTTAGGTTCTAAGGCCAGGGTTTAGGGTTTAGGGTTTAGGGTTTAGGGATGCTTCATGGAGACTTACAACTTGGGGCATGGAGGTTTCTGGGCTTAGGAATATCGGCCAGGGATTCGGAGGTCAAAAGGCCCAGTCAAGAGCCTTTTGTTCCGCATTCTTGGGGCCTTGGCTGGGATGTCCCTAACAGTCCTGAATAGGGATTCGCGCAACGACGTATAGAATCCCTATAAGGACTGTTAGGTTAGTATGAGGGAGTCCTTCATATAGGGAAGGACTGTTAGCTTCAGGGCGAACATCCCAACAAGGCCGGGTCTCGATGGACCTTCCAACTGCCTTTTGAGTGCTGGTCGGGCTTTCCGGGGCGCGTGTTTGGGGGTTTGCTGTTTCGGGGGGGAGCTTTCTGCGGCGCCGGCTTGCGTTTCGTTGGCAAAAAGAGGCGGCTTACGTGAATTGAACACGCGAGCGCTTGTTGGCTTGGGTAAGCCACGTGTAGGCTCATGGAGACTGCAGTTTTGAAGCAAAAACCCTAAACCCTAAACCCGCTATACACCTTCGATGCCTAGAGGGCTTCGAAATTCGAATGCTGCACATATCTGAGGCACGCTCGTTTGTTCGAATCTTTCTTGCCTTAGACCCTTATGAACCCTAAACCGTTTTCCTACACCCGAAACCCGAATGCTTGAAGCCTGAACCTTAACTGCTTTGCGCCATCAGAACCCCGGAGGCCAACCATAGCAACAACGCCTGGGCCTATACTTGATCCCTGTTCTGCTAGGAAGAAAAAAAGGATCCTTTTCGTTCATATATAAGAAAGCCCATAACCCAAAAAGTAAAAAGGATCCCTAACACTGGTCGAGTATACTTGAGGGATGTTTTGGGGTCTGTGCCCGAGCTGCGGAACTTCGAAGATGTTCAGACGCTAGAAGCCTGCAGTTGCATGATGTTGCACGCATTTGAGGGCTCAGGACTCGTCTGAGGTCTGAGCATTGAATTTGTTTGCTTAGTTGCTGAGTTCATAAGCCCCCCAAAAAGTGAACACTTGCAGTTCCATAGGGGATTATAGTATCCCAAAAAGTGTAAGGTGTACTCACTCAGCTACTAAGATTGGGTTTCGCGACTTCGCTGGCTTGGGGGTTGCTTTGGCTTCTGCACGGTAACCCCCATGTCTACGTTGTTTGAGAACCTTATTTCTTGGAGCGCCCTTTTACACTACACCCTACACCCCGCCACCATAAACCCTTAACCCTAGCACCTGAATGTAAACAGGGGTTTGGGGTTTACAGGGTTTCAGGCTGAGGGTTTGAGATGTAGGAGGGCTCTTCTGCTAAATTGTGCTTTCGGCATTGTCTTCTGCAAGTCTTATCATCTTTTGTTCTGTTTGCACTCTCTCGTAGGGTTCAGGGATACGTGCCAGGCCATCAAGAGAAGATGAGAGAACAAACCATGTCTTGAACTGCTTTGCAACAACGACGAAGACGCCAACCTCCCTGGTCGGAACCGACTTCGCGCAGTGGGGCAATTTAGGATTCGGCTTGAGGGTCCTAAACCCTAACCCTAAAACCTAGACCCTACTCCCTGAACCCTCAAGACCATTGAGTCCTTAAGCATAGGCTAGGCGTTTATGAGGCAATTGCAGGCCGCGTGAAAATGCTGGCAGGTGCATGACCTCCTTGGGCACCGCATGCCGCTAGACCAAGCTCGGATGGTTTGTGATGGGCTGCGGGTTTGGGGTTTAGGGTTTCAAAGATCAAACTGTTTAGGGGTTTTGCCACCTGCCTAGCAGGCTCGCAACCGCACTGGTTAGAGTTTAGGGTTTCTGGACACGCATCTGGCTTGATCACAGGCCAAAACACAGCTCTTAGGTTGTGGTGGTGGCAGTCGTACCGTCTACTCAGGTGTTGCAGGGCAAGTATCCGCAATCAGGAAGGTTGTCCCGTGTTGTGACCTCTACGTGCGCTTCGTGTTTGTGCCGCTGTAGCATCATTTGCGCCGACTCACCTTATCCAGCAAGCCACACGGCTTGACCTCCCGTTCCTGAGTGAGAAGGCGGTGCCACCACGTCAATACCAAACACACACGGTGGTGTGAGGGCGCATTAAAGTCCGAGACCCGATTGGCTTCCGCTTGTAGGTTTGTGTTTACATGGACTTGAACCCGGCAGGGTTTCTGAGAAAGGACAGCATATGGGTCTCGGTCGAGGCGGGGGGAACATTGCATGAACTTGTCATGCTGTCTCATTTACTAGACCTGGGCTCGGCATTGCTCTGCAATGCACAGCCTGAAAGGACATTGCTCTGCAATGCAAGTCTAAATGATCCCCGATCAAGCTTGACTTTGTCAAAGTGTCGGCCAGGCCTCGCGGCCTCTAGGCAAACAGCACTAATTACATTGGAAAGTGAAAAACACCTCGCCTGCAAGCGCTTCCATCCTGGTAGCTTCCGAGTCAGCTACCAGGATCTTGAATACGCCGCCTGCGAGTAGCTACTTTCGGTTACTTCGTAAACGTGAGCTCGGAATGAGCCACATGCTCTTTTGGGAAAGCAAGCGCCTCTTGTCACGCCCATAGCCTGGGGTCGGCCCGCAGCCGCCTATCTGTGCCCAGCTGGGAACTTGGGTCAACTCTTCCAGTACTCCGTATGCAGTTTGGCAGGGCGTGACCTGAGAAGCCCACAGGCACACCTCAGACCTTTTGGACACAAGGCACTTTCAGGCTTGTACTTGGTCGACTAGAGTTTCCTTCGAGCGCATCATGCGGATGACGTTCATGTATGGTATCCCACATGCCCGAAACTGCCGCAAATGAAGGGCCTGTTTTCCTGAGCAGGGTTTGCCTGAATTAGGCACAAATACATTGGCAGGTTTCACAGCAGGCCCCGGTCGGCTGTCCCAAGTCTCTTGAGTCTCTTTCGCCAACAACCAATCAGGCAGTGCCTTGCGTCAACACCTCTCAAGTGTGTCAGCAGCAGACAGCTGTCCGCTGCCAGGCAACTGTCTGCCGGTCGGTTCGAAATTGAAGCCGAAGGGCGCAGCCTCAGCAAGGCTTGCTTGGAGCTTCGTGGGCGGGGTTATAGGCAGGGTAGCGATAGCTCAAACCGGGTACATGACAACTCAAAACATCACTACCCATGAACCTCCAAATGCGGAGCAGACGGCATACACATCCCATCCTGCCCGAAGCATTGATGTCCCACATGTCTACACTTCGAAGCCTTACAGCAGCGTGCTTGCGTAACATCATTCCATGCAGGGTGTGCAC